GGACGCAGACGGCAGGATCTACAGCTGGAGCAAGGCTGGGAAGGAATGCTGGCAGCAGGCACCTGCCATTCTGTGTCCAACAGGGGAGGGCTCTTCGACAGCTTCGGAGGGCAGTGATGCCAGTCCTGCTCAGACAGGGAGGACTCGAGGGAGTTAACAAATCGGGCTATGGACCTTTAAGATTGATGGAATCCCTTCATTTTTATCAATGTGGTCTCATTGCAAGGGAATTGGAGTTCTCTCTTTTCCATACTCAGCTCAATCTTTTGCCTGTTGACACTTCTCATCTTCTCTCAGGCCAATCCTCCTTTTGGGTTATAGCAGAATCTCATAATCATTTTTCTTCCATTCTACCAAATTGCCTGTGCAAGATAGAGTACCTGTTCCAAAGACCTCAGACAAAGAACAATAGCTTAAAAATATTTATACTTGAGTCAATTTTTAAAATAAATGTGAAGCCAGGCATTTCCAGGAACCCTCTTAGCCCAGTCATACTGGGTAGCAACAGACCGAGCCAAATGCTGGAAGCAGGGTATGGATGGAGGGAGGGGCTGCTGGAACCCACAGGCACAGTCAGACCAGACATCCAGTGGCTTTCCGCAGGGGACATCTGTCAGGTGCTTTGGAAGGATGCAAACGACAAGCCACATCTGTGGACCGGGGCGTCTGTGAGGCAGGATCTTCTGTGGTCTGGTTCTGGATCTGATTACATCCTGCCCTCAAAGAGGATGGATCATTCTCTAAAACCCAAGCTTGCCTGGAGCCAAACTCAGTGCCTTCGAGAGCTTAGGGCTAATGGTAGCCTCAGGCTACCCAGAACTGCCTCCTCCTGTCCTTCCTGGTAAACATCTTCACTCAGAGCTTCTCCACAGAGGACGGCAGGGAAAGGCACTAAGCAAGAACCTAATGCTCTGGGTCCTCGGTACATCATAAAACCATGATTGCGCAGACTCTTATGTCTATGTCCGATTCGACTGTAAGATGGCTGAGGGCAGAGGCCAGGGGTTGCTCTCACACTCCTCCCTCCTCCAGGACGGGGCACAAAGTGCCGCACACAGGAGGCTTGCTGCCACTCTCTTTGCTTAGCTAACAATGGGAACACGACAGGAGTGAGTTTTGGGCCAGATTTCCTGATTAGCAGCTGCAAACGTTCTGGAGCTGCTCCATGCCTGTGTGCACCACATCACTCCACACATACACTGTGCACTCCCAGGTATCCAGCCTCTGCACAGCCTGTTCCTTCTGCCCAGGTGGCAATTCCTTATTTCCCTCTCTTAGGACAATTCCAGGGTCCTACGTATCTGTGGCCTGATCTCAGTATAGATAGAGCTTCTCCTAGGAAGCATATTCTAAATTCTAAGCCCCAGGGAAGGGCTTCTCTGATGGTCTCCCATGGCTTTTCATACCCCACTCCTAAACTAGATGTGTAATCACACAGCCACTTCTCCAGGACCTCTGACTGAAACCTTGTCAAGTCAGGGACCACATTTGTCTGCTCTCTGCGGTACTGGGCACCCACACTGTGCCTGGGCACAGCAGATGCCCCATAGATGTTTGTTGGATGAACATAAGAAATATGACGGCTACCACTTAGTGAGTGCTTATCAAGTGTCAAGTTCTGTGCCGGCCTCTCCACATAAAGCATCCCAATGTTTAAAACAGTCTTGTTAGGTAGACATTACCATGACATATGTAAAGACAAGCAGAACAAAGGCCAGAGAGATTTTAAAACTTTTCCAGAGTCACATGCCCAAGAAATAGTAGAGATGCAATTTTGACCTTGGTCCTTTGAAAAAGAAGTGTGTTCCTTCCACCACTGGTGACTGTGTAAGCTATGGAGCCAGTAGCCAGAGCAACTCATCCCTGCTGCTTTTTGAGAGATGGGCTTAAGTAACCTCCTTCCCTTGTGGTCCACACTGATGTTTCCAAAACAGCAGACATGAATTTCAAGAAGGCACAACTCAAGTCTTATTTCCGCATGAACTGTTTTCCTTTGCATATTCATAATTTATTTTTCACGACTTGTGGTTTTGCAATTGATTGTATACTGTCTTAATTCATTGCACACTCATTTCTTATTTACATAGGGCATATCCTCGAAGAGCATTTAAATGAATGAGCCTTGCACTTCTCCTGTTCTTACATGAGCCCCAGGTGCTCAGATGGCTGTGGTTGTCAGGAGGAGACAGAGTGGGGTGTAGAATCATCAAACACAACCGTTTGCGGGACAGGGCATCCAACTTTCTCTCATGCCACAGTCAGGACCTCACATTTAAATGCTTCTATCAAAAGGACAAGAGCAATTGATTCTATTTTTCTTCTTCTTCAGACCACGGAATATACTTTGGAATCAAGAAAGTGGTCCCCCAAGCATATCTCAAAGCCAGAAATGGGCTTCTGTGCCTTGAGTTTGTTGGTGTTTCAGATAACTGGGTGCGGCCTGCAGCAGAAAGAGTGCTCCCTTCAGGGGAACGGACAGCCAGGATGGTCTCAGGACGCCTTGACTTTCCTAATGAGGTGCCAAGGCCATTGTGGATGCCAACTGAGGGGTAAGGCAGGTGTTGGCCCACACCTGTCCGTGCCAGACTCCTGGGGTCCATGGAAATCCCTCTAGAACCGTCCCTGGCTATGCAGTCTCAGTCTTGCGCTTAGAAGCAGATCGTCACTAGAGCATAATGAACTCTGAACCACAGGAACTTTTGGAGCTCAGGAGATGCAGAGGCTGTGGCCCTGGCCCTCAGAGACAGCAGACGGTGTCTTTGGGAGGCTGGGGTGGGGACTCCTCACACACTGTGCCAGCCCGCTTCTTTGCACCGTGTCAGGAGCTCCACCTGGGCTCTTGCAGGAGTTGCAAATTTGGTCTGCAAAAGGTCAGAGAGTCAATATGTTGGGATTCGTGGACCATATGGTTTTTGTCAGAACCACTCAACAGGTGGGTTGGAGCCAGGATTCTAACTCAGGTTTATTTGACTCTGAATCCCCTGAGTTATTCCCTGTGGTTACCCAGATAAAATAGTGACCGTTCACACCTTATACACCATATATGCCAGACATTGTAAGCACGCTTCAAAAAATTAACTTACGTGATCCTCAATGATTTAAATCTATTTGAACCTCTCCATGAGATAGGAATTGGCCTTATCTTCATTTTACAAATGAGGAAACTGAGGCATGAGAGTTTAAGTAACTTTCCTGAGGACACACAGCTAACAGTGGTGGTGCTGGGATGTGAACCCTGGCAGATCACCTAGAAAGTCTGGGCCCCTATCCACTACACTAAAACAGAGGTGAATCAGATGTCCACAATAAAAGACACTGTATAATTGAATGCATAGCTTGGTGACCAGGACTCAAAGCGACTTCAGAGTTTACAGGGGAGTCTATCTGGAACAGGCCCAAAGTACCCCCCTAGCCCCATAAGAGGAGGACAGATATGACAGAGGAGGGCAGGAGAGGACAGTGCCAGTGCCTGTGGAACCAGACAATTTGCTCCTTGTCCAGACACTTTGCATCTAACCCATAACCAAAATTTATCGGGCACTTACAATGTGCCTTACTCCATTAAGCACTTTCATTTCTGTAAAAGACAAACTAATCTGTTTTACTACATAGATAATCGAGAATATTAAAACTAAACAAGGCTTTAAAAATCACCTAGAGAGTTCCAGCTCAGAGCAGGGGCCAGAGTTACAATCTGAAGACCAGGCTGTGGAGGCTGCACCACCAATTGCAGGGAGGCTTGGTAGGTGGGATTTCTCTTGCTCAGGTGGCAGACAATCCAACTTAAACTGGCCTACACCAAAAAAAAAAAAAAAAAAAAAAAAGAGACACGTTGGCCACATGCTGAAAGGTCTGGCGGTGAACTCAATACGCTTATACACAATGGTGCGATCTGGGCTCACTGCAACCTCCGCCTCCCAGGTTCAAGCAATTCTCCCGCCTCAGCCTCCCTAGTAGCTGGGACGACAGGCATGTGCCACCAAGTCTGGCTAAATTTTTTTTGGTGTGTATTTTTAGTAGAGATGGGGTTTCACCATGTTGGTCAGGCTGGTTTTGAACTCCTGACATTAGGTGATCCACCCGCCTTGGCCTCCCAAAGTGCTGGGATTTCACGTGTGAGCCACTGTGCCTGGCCAGCAACTCATTTTTAAAGAAATTACAATCAATAACCAACCCTATAATGTACTGGGCATTTGGGTGATGAGAAAATTGAGACACACAGAGGACAAGCTGCTGGCCAGGGTGATTTAATAGAGAGGAAAACCACTGTTTTCAGGACGCCAGCACCCATTCCCACCTTGTGAGGACACTGACTTTTGCTTCGAGGGAATGGCTCTGACACCACAATTTGAAAAGCATCCTATAATTCATTGCTAAGTCCCGTGACAAAGACTCAAAATGGCCTGGAGAGGATGAATCCACCCCAGCACCAGGGATGGCTTGTGTCCTAGACCCATCGAACAAGCGCAGGACCTCTGTCAGCTGGTCAGAGACAGCGAGTCAGCTCCAAACCTTCTGACTGAGGTACTGGGGTAATATTTTCTGATTCTCTCTCTCTCTGTTCAGCTGGTGGTTAAGAAGCAATAGAGCTCAAGCATCCAGGGCCACTGCTGGAGGCTGGGAGAGGGTGCAGCAGAGTCACAGATGTGGGTAAGAAATGGAGTCAGAGAGCCCAGATTTCAGGGGCCCCGGCTTGCGCTGTATAGTGTTTCACTTTGTGAATATATTCTAACTTATTGTCCTTCTATTTTTGATGGCTATTTAGCTTGTTTCCAGTCCTTTCAAAACTACTATTGAAATAGTGCCAGGAATATTTTTGTACATATTCTTTGGTAGAAATAAGTACCCACTTACGCTGGGTATTTACTAATGCCTACAGAAGAATTTAAATCATGACAACTTTATGAATAACAAAGTTTGCCAAAATATTATTTATAATTGAAAAAAATAATAAAGATCAACAGGGAAATGATAGGTCATTAAATACACAACCTTGGGAAGAAGGGTTTTGATTTTTATTTTCACCATTTACTAAAAGAAAAGCATTAAATACATAAGGACATAATAAATTCTAAGAAAGCGTAAGCAACAGCGGACAAGGAAGAAATTTCTAAGTGTGAAAATGTATTAAGTAAATCACAATGGAAAAATTTTGAGTACATAGCAACTTTAAACTTATGTGGGCCAACACACATAATTAACCAAATTATAACTTATCTAATAATTCAGAAAAATATTTATAACAAATACATCACAAAGGTTTAATAAACTTCCTATAATCTAAGTTCACATACATTGGTGATAAAGATATTACCAACCCAAGAAAAGTTAGCAAAACTGTAGAAATGGATTTACACCTGTGCTTAATAATGAAAACACTTCAACATTTCTAGTAATCAAAGGAGAGAGGACTGAAACATAGGGACATAATTTTGCACTATTACAAGGTACAAATATTTAACACTATTAAAACAGCGCTGAAGAGAATGGGAAAAAAGAGGCATGGTTATATGCTGTTGGGCTAACTTCTGCAGAAAGCAACTCAGCATTACGCATATGAAGCTTAAAAACATGCAGAGCTTCTGAATCAGTATTTCTACACTGAGAAATCTGTTCTTCCCAGGAATAATGCAAAACACAAACAAAAAAGATGTATACCACATTCATCAAACCAGCATTTATCACTGAAAGAAATAAGAGAAAAAAAAAGGCAATACCTAACAATAAAAAAGTAGAGAAAAACAACTATTGACCGTGTGATGGAATGTGATGCAACCATTAAACGATGGTGGTCATTAGGTTATGCAGAGCAAGGTCAAGTGGCCAGGTGGCATGAGCATCACCACTCCTGCAGCAGCCTGGACAGGTCCACTGGGCAGAACAGACCCAGGACGACAGGCCCGTAGTACAGGACCCCACTGTCCATCACACCCCACCCCGCACAGTAGCAGCAGTCCAGCTGGTGCAGATGTTTGTTGCCTGGAGAGACAGTCTGATCCCTGAACTGCAACCTTCAAACTGTGAGACTGGGGAGTGTCACTGGGGTGTCTTCAGGACCTTGGATAACTCCAGTGAGGCTGTAAGATTAGAGATGGCACCGGGAGACAGTGGGAGACGGTTGTCCACCTGCAATTGAAATAAGGACATTTCTCATGGCTTCACAGGGAGTGAAGGTGTCTGTGGGCTCATCAAGTTGAGTAAGAAAGATAGATGTGGAGAAGGGGCACAGACTAGGGGAGAGAAAAGCTGGAAATACCAACTCATAACCCCTTAGAGACAAATGTATGTGTTTGTATATTGAACCAGACACAGCGAGGGGCTAGGCATTCTTCTTTGGCAGATAGGAGAATGTAAAGCAATAGGAAGGGCAGTTACCATCCCTGTGATCCTATCTTTAACTTCATATTGTGCTGAGCTAATGGACATGTTCTATGTTTCAAAGAAAGAGAAAAAGAAAAGGAATCATGTTACCTAACTCACTGTTGAGATGAAAAGGGAGTGTATGGTGGGCAACTGGGAGGAGTCAGTTTCTTTGCTGCTTCCCTTTGCTTCAACCAAGATGTTTTTATGGCTTTATTCTGTAAGGTAAAGTTTTTAAGAAGTTAAATGAGTGGCAAAAATCAAGCAGAATTTGTAGCGATTGTATAGGTTCTTTCAAAGATGGGCATGGTGGCGATAACATTTATATCGTGATTTCATGCATATTATCCTTTTTGTTCTTTGCATGAACTTTACTATGATTCTGATGTCACAGGTGAGTAACTAAATGTTCGGGAATGTTATCTGCCACAGGATCAGGGCAGCCACACTGTACACAGCCAGGGAGCCCTGTTCAGAGTGTTGTATTTGTGGGTGGTGCTCCTGAAGTTGCGTGTGGCTTTAGGTGGCAGTCCTGACCAGCCAGAAGTAAATGGCAAAAGGTGCCTCTCAAAACTACGTTCTTTGTCGTCTCTCCCAGGCTGTCACATTACAGAAATCTGCTAGTTAAGGAAAGGAGGATTTCTCTTCTCTCCTTTGTTTTCCCATACTACAAAATATAATTCATACTGCAAACAAGTTTCCCTTTCTACATGATTTATTGAGGAAATAAGTCATCCTTTTAGGGTTCAATGTCTTCAAATTTTTAAGCAGCTTCTTTGGAATGTATTTTATTTGGTATTGCTATCTATTGCTGTGACACTGTATTCACATAAAATGTCATTTAAAGACTATATATAAAATAGTTACATGTTCTTTCTAGTACAAAAACAAAGAATGAACATAAAAAAAAGGTTTTTAGATAGAATTCAAAAAATATTGAAAGCCTCTGGTTTTCCCTTTTGGGCAAAACTTCTAGTCTTGATACCCTGAAAAAATCCCTGCTGTAAAATACCTCCATAGTATAAAATAAAATAAAAATCCGCATCCTTTTAAGTTCATAATGACCTTGCAAGAATGTAGGAGAAATCCCAGGGGACGAAACAAAAGGAGGCAGGCACGCAAGGAATGATGGCTCTGGGGGAACCTGGTAACGTCCCCACACCTTGTGCTGTGGTTTCAGTAGCCGTAAAAGGCAGAAGACAACGTGGAGGGCTCTTGGAAGGGGAGAGTCTCCCTAGACCTTCTCATGCAGCCAGAAACTCCAAGAGCCATGCTGAGTGAAAGGACAAACACATACACAAGTCCCTGCCCTTCAAAGGGAGAGATGGCGACTTCAATATCATCTAGGCACAAAGGTTGGAAGTCAGCGAACAAAGCAACAGATGATGACTCAGTCACACAGCTCCACAGCCAGATGCTGGAACGATCAGACGCTGAGCCCTTCTCTCAAGGTCATTTTTTAGGGGAACCCAAAGTTAAAGAATGACCAGGTTAAATCTATTCCAGAAATGTACATTTTGGTTTAACATTGAAAAATCAATTAATGTAGTTAGCCATACTTAGAAATCAAACTAGAAAGGCCTAAGATCACCTCAGGAGGCACCAAAACATATTTGATTAATTTTTATATTCATTCAGCTTAAAATCCTTGGCATAATGGGCTAGAGGATAACTTCTTTAAACTGAAAAAAATTGAACCTACCAAAATCTTAGAGCAAACATGGTACCAAATGGTAGAATCTGGAACATTCCCTTTCAAAAAGGATTAAGACAAGGTTGCTTTTACACCATACATTGGGGGCTCTAGCCACTTCAATAAGATGAGAAAATCTGTAAGCAACACACAAAATGGTATTATTTGTGTATTATATTTATAAAATATTTCCTTCCAAACATCTTTAAAGCATTAAAATTAATATGAGGGTTTAACAAAATTATCAGATATAAGATAAATTAAAATTTGATTTTATTTCTATACCCAAGCAACAAAGAGAAAATGTAGTTTTGAAAAATGGGTACCTTTTACAAGAGTAACAAAATATATAAGGTGTTAGATTTATCTAGCAAAATATTTTAAAGATCTTTATGGGGAACATTATAAAACTTTATAAAAAGACAGTTTACAATTCACTAAAGAAATAGGGAAATGTGCCACATTCCTAGCTAGGAGAACTCAATACCTTAAAGATGTCCAATCTTTCTAATATTATCTCAGTCCTAACAAGGTTTATTAAACTTGTCAAACTGATACTAAATCATAAGGAAAAGAGTTACAAATATCCAAGACATTCCTGAAGGAAAGTGAGGAACTAGGTGAAGGAAATGGTCTACCAGAAACTGAGATTTGTTAATAAAATATAGTAATTAAGACAGTGAGGTATTGGCATAAGAAGAAGCAAAAGGAACATCAGGGGAAAAGAACAGAGGGCACAGAGGCTGACTCATGCAAACCTAGATACTTGCTATATCCGAGAAGCGCTATTCAGACCACTGGGAAAAAGTCAAATATTTAAAACATGCTTCAGAAACAGTTAAAAAAAAAACTGAAACTGAGCCACTATCAGACACCATGCACAATCATATAATGCAGGTGAATTAAAGCTAAAAAAAGAGAGAGAAAGAAAATACAGGAGTAAATATATGAAAATTTGGCGATAGAGAAAAAACTTAAAACAAAATGAAAAACAAAACTCAAAAGGGAAACTTGATAAACTTCACTCAGTTAAAATTTAAAATTGATGTTCATTCAAAAGAAAACATAAGTAAACAAAAAGCCAGTAATAAATTTGACAAATCGATTTTTATAAAAGATTAACACACGGCATATGTAAACAATGCCTACAATCCAATGGGAAAAATTATGAAAGACAATGATACCCTGTTGGTGGAATTTTCAATTTGTACACTCACTTTAGAAAATGATTTTTATTATGCATTAAAATTAAAGGTGGGCAGAATTAACACTGGCAATTCTATTCCTCTGTCCAAAACAGTGCGCCTAAGAATATATATGTATGCATAAATGTTAAAAGGCACTTTAATTGTTAAAAGGTATGTAACTGTGAAACATACTTTTTAAAAAAACAAATAATGTTCAAATAGAAATTTAAAAAAAACAACTACAAATAACCTAAATTTCTATTGGCAGAAGTGAAAAACAGTTATATATTTATTATAACCGAAAAACATAAACTATGACTTCAGACATCGTAATACATTTCTCTCAAAAACATAAGAATGGACAGAAAGAGGACTTGTGACCACCAGAGGTGAAGGCAGGGGAACACTGCTGTGGGTACAAAGTCTCTTGAGGTTTCTTTTGGGGCGATGGAGATGTTCCAGACTTGGATTGTGATGACAATTTCACAGCCTTGTGATTATACTAAAAAATACTAAGCTGTACATTTTTATGGTACCTAAGTTGTATCTCAATATAAAACCCATAATGTTGAGCAAGTTGCAGAAGAATATTAACAGGATGATAATATTTCTATAATGCTTAAACTTAAGTACAATGCAAAATGTTTATATACATATCTGGTAAAATCATGAAGACAGTCAAAGGATAATAATCACAAAATTTCAGATCGTGATAAGGCTAATCAGTGGACTTCAAAATATTGATAATGTTCTACTTTTTAGGCTTGACTATGCCTATTTTAAAGTATTATTATTTATAATTTACATATATGTTAAATATCTTTTTGAATGTGTGTACTATGTTGCACAATATAAAATCCAAAAAGTAAAAAATAAATTTCTTAAGGTAAATAAACTGAATTTCATCAAAAATTTGAGAGAAAAATTGGAAGGAGAGTAACAATAGGGTAGGTGTGAAAAATAAAAGATAATAAGTACCTAGTATATTGCTGAACCAATAAGGAATTAAAAAATATTAGGGCAAAAATATTTATGAGGGGTGGAAAGAAGTGAATAAGCTTAATAGATACTAAGAATAGAAAATTGACAGAATTTGGCAATGGATTGGGATTGGAGGTGAAAACTATTGCAAGAATGATTTCCAGGTTTCCAGCTGCACAATTGGATAGATGGTGACCTACTTATCAAGGTAAGAATCACCTCCCAAATAATCATTAGCAAGGGCAGTTAAATTTTTATTTGCAAGAAATTAGAAACACCAAAAATGAAGCAAGCAAGTATTAAGATGGTGGATAAATGAATCATGGTACAATGGTGTGGAGGAATGGTATGCAGCCATTAAAAATCATGTTTTAAGAGACTGATGACATCTTGCATTTTAGGAGCAGATTAATATCTGCACATACAGTACAGTTTCCATTCTGCAAAATAATATTAATATATATGTATATTAAAAAATGACCAAAATGTTTTAAAGTACTAGCAATGGCTGTCTCTGGGAGATGCAATTATAACTAATTTTAATTGTCTTCTATTTACTTTTGTGGAATCTAAAATGTAATTAATGTCCTACAATAAACAAGCATTAATTTAATATTATAGAATATGTGTGGCATTTCAAAATGCAACTAAAATCACCATGAGTCTCTTCAAGTCCATCTCTTTAGGACACTGATGTTACATGGAAGGCTGCAAAATCACACATCGTATCATGCATGTGCTATGAGGTAGTCTGGGAAACTGATGGGGAAGAGAAATGTTCCTGGTTGTTTGTTATGAAATAATTATGTGGCTGGGGTTAAAAGCCTCTTAGGACAGCCAAGTGGCAGCTTTCACTCAAGACACTTTTAATGCATTGGCAAAATGCCTTCTTTTCAAGTGCACCCCAGGTGATTCGGGGTAAAAGCTCAAGACAGCACCTTTTTTCCCAAAACTACCTTCAGAAAGAAGGGTTGTCAATTTGCTGGAAATAATTTTTGTCATCTTCTAGGGTTATAGGCACAACATGGTTATTCTCCTTCCTTTAACTTTGGGATGTTGGAGTTTTGCATGTCTATCGCTTCTCGTCCTTTTTTCCATTTTCTCTACTACTTTCTTCTACTTTCTTTCTGTTTCATCTTTTGAAATAAGAACTTTTTGGAATAAATATTATGTTTTTATTTATTTATTTATAAAAGGACAGTAGTTATGGTATTGTTCCTTTACCCCTCTCTGCGTAGACATAATGTCTTAATCATGGCAGTTCTATTATATTTTTTAGGTAACATTTTCATAACATGAAATGATTCATTTTTAAATATGCCATTCAGTGACAATTAGTACTTTCTAGTGGTAGATTTTTAATACATTTATGTTTAATATATATGACTGAATAAATAAAATAAATAAGATTGCACTGAATTAAATAGGCCTCCAAACAACAAAACGCAAATTGAAAACATTTTCTACTTTTTTTGCCAAGATGCTCTTGTTTCATTTAATCTAATACCTGCTTCATTTGTTTCATTCATCTAATACCTGCTTAGATATAAACTTCCTAAATTAATACAAATATCCTTACATAGTTAAACATAAGTTTAGGAAGCAAGCGTTTAGGTAGCAAGGGATAATTCATTTCCATTATATGTCATTAGCTCTTGGAAGGTAGACTTCCGAATATGAAAACACACTGATTTCATTGAAATGAGGGTTTTCTACTCCCTAAACAGAGAGCCATGGGAATAGGTGGTTTTATTCAAGTGACCAAGTATAGCTGGAATCACCTCTCACCTCTCTCTCCGCCTTAACCCCACAGATGCAAGCAGACTTCTCTCTAGCTCTAAAGATTACACACTTTATCTTGATAGTGTTGGGAAATGAAGAATTAGAAGAAACAAATTCTAGATCAGTAGCACATCTATAAGATGAGATTTTACAGATTAATCCTCTTTGCTGCAAAACTAGATTTTCTTTTTCCTCTAAAAACCTTCAGCTTTCTTTGATTGGCTTTACCTGTTTTTTCCCCTCTAGCAATGGTCAAGAGACAAATTGTACTCTTCCAGAACCAAATCTTGAAATATTTAATAAATACCTAATTTATCTAAATCATGTATTTACACATATTTGTTCAGAATACATAATATGGTATAACTTGTCATTTTTCAGTCATAAACCTCCTCTGACTCCTTCACAAAGGGCTCAGGTTTCCTTGCCTTGGCCAACTCTCTTCACCTAGAGACTCTAGGATTGGTACTTTCAGAAACCTGAAGGCCAACTGGGTTCCCTCTTCCCCCTTCTTATACTCCCTTTTCCACCTTCCTGCACCCAACATGCTTTGCTTTTCTCTCTTCCAGGTCATTCATTCCATCACACCCTCTGGAATTTCCACGTCGTTACAACAGAAGCTTTTTTCATCCTCAGATACCAGCTCTTCACTGCCTGAACAGAGAGGATCCGTAGGGCCCCATCTTTGTGGCCTGTAAACCAATCTGGTACAGAACACAAACGATCATAGCCAATATGTACTGGCTGTGTCTACTGTGCCAGGCAGGAGCTTTCAAAGGTCTTTAATGTGTTAATTTATGTGAACTTATCAGTAGCTCTACAAAAAGTACTTAATCAGAAAAATATATATATAAAAGTGTAATCTAAAACATAGAAGAATAATCCTGAAAAGAGTATGTTGAGCACTTATGATGCAGCAGGTTCTTTGAGAAAGCCTATCAAACATAGAGAGTGAATCAAAACACATCAGGGCAGGTTCCAGAGGCTACCAGGAATGCCCCTTGAGGAGGTGCAGTGGAGAAAGGACAGCCTGCAGGACTGAGGACCAGA